AAGCCACTCTACCATAGTACAACGTAGGTTATCCTGAATTAAATTAATTCTCCTGTTATGCTTGGATAATCTATTCTTTACCATTCTGTAATTTTTACTAAAATGTTCACTGTTTTTTCAGAAGTTGCAAAGATAGCAATGAATAGAGAATTAAATATAGACAGCCAGGAGACAAGGAGCTTTATCAAGTATTTTCTCTGCACAAGGGATTGGCAGCCTTTTTAAAATTTCAGTTGAAAATACTTACAGAAGTTGAAAACCACAGACTTAGAGGCAGTTCAGAAAACCTTGCCAAATTCTACAGAATATGGGTTGGACATCTATTTTCTTGATATGACTCAAAGAAGTAAAAAAAAATCTTACCAAGTATTTAGCACATCAGGAAGTTAGTAGTGGTTAGAGTTTTATCTGCATGTCTCACATATTATATTCTTAATATTAATCTCTAATATGAATTCCTAATATTAATAAGCCTCTGTGGCTTCTGTATTTGGGTGACCTAAGAGCTAGCCAAAGAAGAGCTAGACAAATCCATTACATGAAAACTTTATCAGCTGCTTGGTAAATCTCCATCTGACTACTGGAAAAGGGGCAGTATTCTACGAATGGATCACCACCTACTTGCACCATGTTTTATATTCCTGCCTATAGCATCTGCTCACAGCTTCTGTTAGAGACAGAATCATGGGTGAAAATGGGGTTTTGGCCAATACAGATATTCTCAACATTCTTACAGATATGTTCCTTCTCTATTCTCTCTAATATTGAAAAACATTGAGTACGCTTGACTCAGCAATCCTGTCAAACTTCCTGGCAGTCTCCCCAGGCTCTACTGATTCTCTACAGGGTCTCTCCACACTAAACCAAAGTACTGTACTGTGACACCAGTCTCTGCGTAAGAGTTATCCCACAGCTTGACCCTGCCAAGTAGGGTTGGCCAGTAAGCAAGAATTTTGGTTTGCTGAGAATTTGGAACAAATACAGCTCCTTATGTCAAGGAAAAAAAAGAGCAGCGAGGGATCATGACCTAGTATAGCCAAATCCATGGTGCACCCACATCCTGAATCCTGCTTGTAGGTCTGGTTATGAGACCTCAGAAAGGATCTGGCAGAACTAGGAAAGACACACAGAACAAAAACAAGGCCTGTCAGAGGAATGAAAAGTTCTCCACAGATAGTAAATGTATATGGACCGGGACCAGGAAGTTTTTTTCCACAATACTCATAATTAAATTATGGAAATTATGGTGTCAGGGAAGCCAAAAGACAGCTGAATTTGAAAATGGATGGGAAAAATGAATGGAGGATAGATACATCTGTCGCTATTAAACAGAATTATACAAATATAACCTATGGCTTGAGATACCTCTTAAACCACCAACTGACAACAGCTGAGACACCAGGGAAAGAACACGTCAATATTTTATCTGTTTTATACAGTGTTTTCCTTGGCCACTGTCAGTTACAGAGTATTCTGTGAACTGGATCCAGTATGGCCATTCTTATGTTCTTGATTCAACTCTTGTTTTGTGTAATTTAGACTATACAAAAAAATAATCTCTCAGCCTTAACAAGGGTGGATTATATATGCATTAAAGCAAGGAGAGATGCTAACGAAACAGTATCCTTCAAGTCTGTATTAAGATTAGTGAGATCTCTTGCATAATGCTATACCTTGCACCAGTTAGTACAAGATACTCAGTCATATCCTAGACTTCCCACTGCATAAACAGAATTTTCAAAGAACTTTGCAATTTCTGATACCATTTCTAAGTGGAACAAGTTTTAAATTGTCTTTCTCTTATTAAACTACATATTTTATGAAGAATAAAAATAAATAATTTCTGCACCATTTATATGTGTATCACACAAATTTGGTGTAGCGTGAATATTAATAAAGGCAGCTAAGGTCATAGGCAGAGAAGAAATACACCTTACTACCTTTCCAAGGTATTAAACGATATTCTAAAGATATGTTATTTCTTAAGGAATCGTAGGAGATGTTATAATTTATTTTTTTCATTCAGCAGCACAAACTCTCACGAGCTAACAAGAGCAATACTGTATGAGTTTCCCATTGAAGGCTATCTCCAGCAAATGCAAAATGTCATTTTCTGCTGACATCAATTCAACTATTGCACTTTCCACTGAAAAAGTGTCTTCCTTTTCTTTTGTAGCTGTGAAGCGTCTTGAATGTGTTATGGCTATTTACAGGCAATACCCTTCTTAATGACTTAATGGTTAAACTTACGAATTTTAAAATGGGTTTTCTTACCTCTCCATTAGCTTTACCAATGGGAGAGTTGAGAATGAAATCAGGAGGAGCAAAGACATCAACCAGGGCAACTGCATCATCCTTCAACTGTTTAAAAAGAGAAGACATACATTTGGCAATTTCTGTAGTTGTCTAGGGCTAGCTGGGAACTACAAAGCAGCATAAAGACTATTTTCATAAAGTACCAGATATTGGTAACTGAAAATAAATCCACAATGAGGAGTCTAGATTTATTTTCCTTTTTTCCTCCTAGGATACGTGCTGAAAAGCGACTGTATTTCAAATGTTATCCTCCTTCGCTTAGGGATTTTAAAACATATTTTAATCAAGATGGTACTGGTTACACACATAAAAAGCATGTATTTTAGAAATTTAAAAACATAACTTACAGATTATTTGTTGAAATTTTACTTACCTGTGAAGAATATGATCCAGATTGAAAGGGTTTGTGTAGAGAAAAAAAATCAGCTAACACCATGAAATAAACAGAACTGGATTGCAGTATTTCACTGGCTTTCCAAGAGAGATTGCAGGGCCACAAATGACAGTGTTATTTTGTAAGATATATTGGTTTTCATTTTTTTATTAAATAAACTAGGACTAGATTCAGGGTCAATGACTTACTAAACTTTATAGAAAGTTATTCAGAAACTATTAATGTAATATCCTGCTAATTTACCACTTGAAGAACAGCATAACTGACACAACTCTTTTTTAGTATTTGTATACTATATTATTATTTAATAGCAACAAACAATATCGAAGGCTTACCCTGTAGCAGAGCTCCAGAACAGCATTCTGAATAAATCTGCCAGCTTGTTCACCTGAAGCATAGCCACCTGCAAATACATTCATAAAGAAACGTATACCAGTTAAGATTACACTGATACAATCCTTTTACAAAGTAAAATCAGTTCAGTCTTCAAGAGACTAAAGAGATGCTCCTGTATAATTGGATTGATTGTCTTTCATTAATGAGTTGACTGTGAAACTGTCAAGCTCAGACATTTGGCACCTTCTGCATTAACAAGCTACATTACAGCATCTGGCTGCCTGTCCGGCATCCGCTCCCCCAAGCACTGGACCACATAAAAAACTGTGAGCCCTCCCCATCATCTCTGAGCTAAGAGAGAGCCTTTGGGGTTAATTTGTAGCTCCAGATTCCTGCTCCTGAAAATTTTATCCAGAATGGTTGTTTTGTATTACATAGGCAATAAGAAAATGCTCTAATCTAAATCCTAATTAGGATTCCCTCCCCCTGCCAAGATACAAAATGGGGAAAAAAATTTCTAAACTTTAAGTTTAGACTTTTATAAAGTGACATGCACAGTATATTCAGGGAGCTGATCTCACCTTGGTAGAGCACAGCCAGATGTTTACTTAAAGACCAGAGTCCATACAGAGCACTGAGATTCTTAAGCACTGGCTGCAGAGTAGATGGTATGTTGGGATCGTGAGTGTAGTCATGGTATCTTTGTAAGACTGTTTGCTCAATAAAAGCAATGGCTAATGATCGACAGTAGTACACCTTAGGAAACAGAAAAGGAGGACACTGAGTAACAAAATACAAGGAACCAACCCTCAGCTGGTGCAAAATGGTATTGCTCTGGTGAAGTTAGCGGAGATTTGTTGATTCAGATCTTCTACCTAGCTTGGGATTAAAGAAAGTCTAAGAAGAAACTCTAGGAGAAAATTCTTTCTACAATGTCTTTGCACAGGTTAGTCATGAAATGCCTCAAGAAATGCCTCTTTGAAATAAAATCCTAATTTTTCACTGTGTTCCAGTCTGGGTAGTCTCTTATACCAATTCAAAGGGAGAACAGATTGCATGTCAATTAGCAGTGTAATTTGTCAGCTGAAAACAGAATGTATGGGATCAAAGCAATGATGTAAAATGAAGTTTGTTTTTAGCCCATTTGTTCATTTTTTTTTCTCATTTAGAATTAGTTGATAATTTTTTTCCTTTTAAATACTTCCATCATCCTTGAATTTAAATCCACTGTGGCATTTAAAAAGGCACATTCCAAAGATGGCTGTCTCTTTGTCAATAGCTGTTCAGTGACATACTTGTGTCCAAGCTTAGATCCAAATATGACCTAGAAAATACACATATATTCTCTGCAGGAAGGTCCTGCCCCTTACTAGATTGACTTTTTTAGATATGAATGTCAATTCCCTAGTCAGAATAAGTCTTAATATTGCGAATGAAGCATTAATTCCCGGTTCTTCTCCCCTATAACTCTACTTCCTTCTTTACCTTCACTTGCACTTCTGTATTGTTTCTATCAATCTATTTTCAAGTCAAAATAACCTAGGGATAGGATAGGAATCTCTTCCACATCTCCCAAAGCAAGAACAAATATTATATACTAGTTAGCCACTGGGCTGACACAAAAGTGCTCCTTCATGCCCAGAAAGTTTAAATCAAATATGTACATGTCTTTGAAGCACAGCTTGTAAAACATTTTCAGATGTTTTTGAGGCATGCTATTTAAAATAAAAAAACGCACTATCCAGAAGACGAATTGTGAAAAGAAAACCTAATGACCTAAGGTATATCAATGCCTATCTCAAAAGTAGTTCTGTGCCTAAGTATCTTTAAATATTTAAAAATAAAAGAGAAGCAAGGTGAGTAGCCTTCATGCTGCTGAGCAAACCATCCTCTCCAACACACTGGCCCCAACTCAAGCATCCCAAGAGCTGGCCAACTGACTGGCAATCCGACTTGAATTTCTGGCAATTCTGATTCTGAATTTCACTGCAAAAAGTTGCTCTAATAACTTCCTTCTCGGGTAAAAACAGGAAAGGTTTTCTCTACTCTACCAGTGGTTTCACACAGACCATCCCCTGTTGAAGCTAGGCTGGTGTTTTCTAGGTGCAGAGTTGAATATTCCTTCCTGTTGTTTTTTAATGAGCTTTGCACATAAGGTGAATGACACCGGCCACTTCAGGGATCAATCTTCTCTTCTCAGTGACAAATGACAAGTATTCTTTCTCGGATGTGAGCCAGTTTTTCTCATGAGGGCAATGGAAGAATTTGGGGAGCTTGGGGATATACACTGAAATTTGGAGTTAAGCCATTCCTAGCTGTTAAAACTCACTGGTGAGAGTGGTTCTGCTATATGTAGATTGTCAATGTTTCCTTTTCAGGTTCCAATGCTGTCAGTCTGGTATCTTTCATGACTACTTTGCACTATAGAAATTAGAGATGGAAAAGACCTATTAAGTCATCTAGTTTGCCTACCTGCCAGAGCAAGATTCTTTCCTGCAGTATGTATTTGGCCACAAGAGCAGATGGAGATGTAATAATCAGGTGCTGCAGTAGACTTAATAGTACTAGACTTAGTCTTCAGAAGTTGTGCTATCAGAATTACAGACACCACCTGGCACATGCCTGCAACTTCCCTGCAGGGAAATACATCCTTGAAGACTTCTGCTGATGATAACTGTCCTCCTGCTACCATGTTCAATACAATGCACATAGACAGGTATTCCATTTTACTAGTTATATGACTTGGTGCTTTATGCTTGAGGAAATTGTACTTCATGACACAATAAGATAAAACAGGATCTGACAAATTTCAGTGAAAATAAGTAAACAGAATAAGAAAGCTAAATAAGTATTACCTGACAGTTGTTTCTGGCCTCAAAATCACCTCGCCCAGACTGCTTCTCCTTGCTCAGCTTTAGGTCACTTTCTTGGAGCAGGTAGCAAACCAGCCATTTATATGCTGCTAAAGGAACTGTGAAAAAGAGAAAACCCAAACTCTTAACATTCACATTTATAATGCAAAAAGTCACACGCAGATTCTACTGCAGTCACAGTTTTTGTTACCCTAGAAGAAAAGTTAAAAGTGTTAATTAATCAATCCATTAACATGAGACTTTGCCCATTACCGTAGATGCAGAAAATAGCAGCTGAGTAAGATAGTCAGATTGTAACTGTACAGTGAAGACATACACTAGTTCAAACTGACTCCAAGCTAAAAGACAAGGTATATTCACAGCTCAATTTAGACACAAATATTTTCAGACTCGACCAAAGTTTTTAGCTTGTTATTTTCTTCCCATATTAAGACTGAGATCTACAAGGTACTCAGTCTCTTCTGAGAATACAAGAACAGAAGACATTTTGTGGACCCACCCCTTTGCAATTGTAAAATGATGTTACATACTGTCAAGTACGTAAATTCTAAGATAGCAAAGGTGGCTGAATGTTAAGTGCATTTTAATTAACTGTGTTGTACGTAAGTGCATTATGTTTTTAAAGCAGCCTGGAACTATTAAGGAAAAAAAAGTACTTCATCATAAAGTCCTTGTATGAATCCTTCTTGCTTGTGTCTTAGCTTAAGATCTAATGTAGAATATTATTTAGACACTTGTTAAGTGTTCACACGCTGCCTAAATTTAGGCACCTAAATTAACAGTCCAGTTTCTAACAGAATGCAATAATAAACAGATTCAGATATTTGAAACACTATAGTTTGGTTCAGTAGGTATCACAAGAGAGGAGAGAAGATATGCTTAGGTGTTAGTTTGTGCTCTGCTGGATTTCACAATTTGGAGACATACAATAAAGAAGAGAGAGAGCTGTTGTTTTGAACTAGTCTTTTTCTTATAAGCCTTTGTATTTTGAGATTTATTTCTATTTCACCCCATAGCTATTATGATACTATCTCACTTGGTCCTACGCATCACTATCTGAAGTTCAGCTTTTTTTGCAATTATTTGAGCCCTGAAGTGGTTACTGAGTTCTAGGAATCAACACAATTGCCCCTTATATGTTAAGATTGAAGTTTCTTCCCCCAGTATGTGCTCAGTTTCACAGATTCACTTTTGCTCCATGCTCTGTCACTATCTCATTATCTGCTCATTTGTTTGTTAATTTTTGCCTCCAAGGGCCAATCTGGGCTCTCAGTGATACAAAAGTGGGAATGGCATGTAATGTCATACTTTATTTCTTTGTAGCAGAATAAGCCAGGAAAACTGCAGGGAATTTTCTTTCACCATGACTCATTTTTCTCCATGTAACCAAAAGGAACTGTCAAAAGCGGACACACTTAAAAGTCTTTTCACTGTATTTCTAAATCACTTGTATGGTTTTCTAAAATAAGATATTTTAGTGATATAAGGTCATGGCAATCAATGTCCCTCACAACAGTTTCACTTGAAAACAACAATTAAATGGCAAAACCCCCTAGATGCTATTTTAGAGGAACAAAAATATCTGATGCTATCCTCCATTCCAGAATTGAGCCCGGGGATAACAGGGCATATTTTGAAATGCAAACTGTGTTCTTAGTAAATTGAAATGCATATGGAACAAAAGAAGTCAGCAAATAGTAATTTGACAAGTATCTATCTAATAAGTAGCAAAGGTTGAATCTCAAATCTCTGGAAAGGAATTTAAGATTCTAGAATCAGTTTAACAACAGCAGAAGGCTACCTGAGGAGTCCATGCAATCTTCAACACTAATGCTTGTGAATTTCCTGCCAAGGATATGATGGTAGTCTTGCAAAAAGTTTATTGTTCCAAAAGGGGATTTTAAAGGAGCTTTATCTGAAATACCAGAGAAAATAAAAATTATTTACGAGAAAAGAAATCAGACTCTTTGGAACTAAAAGCCTATTTCAAAGCCATGCATACACTTGATAGGCCAGATGCAATTAGGCCATAACATTTATTTTATTATGGCCTAGTCCACCCAAATGACTGGTGGACAAGTGCCGAAAAACCTGACATCACTGCCTATAAGTTCCGTAAGATTCAACACCTGTTGCTTAGTTTTACCGTTCAGTAAGATCGCGGTGAAACTCACTGCTATAAAACTGAAACAAAATCTAGAGAACTACAACATGTACTGACAGATATTGCTACCAAGTTAGGCGATATGAACCGGTTTAAGTACAATGAGCAGAGGGTACCCACACTTAAGACTTTAGGAGCAGTTCCACTGAACTGAACTGCAGTTCTCAGGGAGCAAGATACTACTTAGCCTTATTAGGGCTTGTAAGATATCTAGCTTGCTCCTGCAGGCTTAGATGAAAGAATATTTCTTGCAGCAGATATCTGTGTATTGTGAATGTATCATATGATGGAAGTCTGTAGCACATTATTTATGCTCTACAAAATGATTAAATGACTGTCAATTGCTTTCAGTATGAAATTACCTTCTAATTCCATTAGCTACACGCTGTTGGGTCCAGCACAGGATTCCACAATGAAAACTTACCTCTTATGCATTTCATCCAGCTCATTAAGTAGTTGCTGGTTTGCTGAAGCAGGACATTGTTATCTCCCTCATATGTGCAGTTTGGATCATTGTCATTTCGGATTTCACCCAGACGATTCACTTAATAAGAACAAGTGCACAATTTAATATATCATAATGTATTAATGGAAGCTAAGAGGGATGAAATAATTAGTCTGTGACAAAATGCAAAAGAGTTGGCTGTTCCTGTATGTATAGCTATTCTAACCAACAGATGAGCCTGCAAGTTCACTGGTTAGCTTGTGAAAATGAATATACCGGAAAGATTTTACAACAGTGTGGCATTCATCTTATAAGGGGAATTTTCATCTATAAAGTCTGCATATTTATTTTTGGAACTCAGACTGAATCACACGTACAGTCAAGCACTAGCGCAGATGCTGCACGGGCTTAGTTCTTTTTTGTGGTATCAGGTACCAAATGAACTTTAAAAAATGGGTATGTGGAAAGAACCCTTTCTAAACATATTGCTAAAATTCAGACACCGTGATGCAACAACAGTCAAAGAACACATCAGCATAACCACCCTCTTTCTGATCAGTGTACACAGTAGTCTGTAACTTACTGGCAAGGTAACCATGTCCTCCACAAGCTTCTCGGCACTCCTGGGCTGCCTGCTGAGCAGTCCAAGACGACAGTGGTTTGCTGGCAGCAGATAAGGCATGAATCTCACGTCCCAAATCAGCCTTCATGAAAAACAAGCTACACGTGAGTAACAACTTTTACACAAAGTAAATTTGTGACCAGTTAAAAGCCATAGCTATGCGTACTGCTTTACAATGAAGAGTAACCGGCAATACATACATAAAATTTTCTGAGATCAGTGTAAGTGCAGAGTGTATTTTTTGCTGCCAGAAAAAAAACCCTGCCACAACTGAAAAACCTTCAGCACTAACTTTCTTATATGGAATAGCAATAATTTGTGCCAGGTGACGGACGTACAGCCATGGGTACATTTTAGCTCAGATGTGCCAGCTGACATGGCATTGCATGGGACAGTTCACTGCTTTCCAGTCTTTTCCTCTAAAAGATGGAGAGACAGGTGGTTGATAGTGGCATGTCCCAAGAAAGCTTCTGTCCCCTCTGTGACACAATCAATCTATCTCTCCTCAGTCAGCAAGGGGATATTTATAATATTTACTGCCTTACATGGTTTTCAGTGATCTTCCAAGTATCAATTTTGCAAAGGGTAGGAAAACTTAAAGGTACCCCCTCAATTTCCAGAGAATCACAGTAGCCTGCATTTATACTAGCTCTGTTGGCCTTCCTTTGAAAATGTGTTTGGAATTCCAGTTTCTGGAGACAGTGGGTTGATACTATCAAAGTACTGTGTGGTTTTTTTTTGGTTTTTTTTTTTTTTTTTTTTAAAGATCTGTAGAACAAAAGGAATTAATAAGGATTGCATTCTTAACATTGTCAGCAATCAGATTTTTCTCTATCATTTTTTTTTTTTCTGATAGACACTGTTTCGCTTAAGATTAGTGACTGCACTGGAGACCTCCAGAGATAAAATGTCAGATTAAAAAAATCAAACAGATTCTTCTGTGGTTTGTGAAAAGAGGAGAAATTAGAATACCTAGCCATTAGTATAAAGATCTTCCACAACCTTTATTTTAGCTGAAAAGAGCCCAAGTGTTTAAGTGAGATCTGAGCAATCCATTGCCAGTGTGTAGACCCTAAAAATTAATATTGTCAAAATTGTAAGAAAGAAATAAAATTTATATGGTTTTATTTATATAAAAAAATACTGCAGTTCCTTTGGTTGAAAATCAGTCCTTGTACAGAGATAGACAGATCAAACTATTTCCTTTTAAAAGAGGTGACTTACAATGGTCTGATTGTGGATGAGAAATTCAGCATTGAGACTCAAAAGCTTTAACTTTTTTCTCCAAAAGTATTTATCTTAATGCATGAATATGAATAGCAAACTCAAGCCAGAGTCACAGAGTCTGTGCAGGAACTAAGAATAGTATCATTTCTGAAAGTCTTTGATATATACCCCCTGCAGTATCATTTACAACAGTAATAAACTGAATTTACATTATCATCACATATTTATGACAAAAAAAAACCCACAAAAAATTCTACAAGGGAACATAACGTTAAATCCCACAGAAACCAATAAAGCTTTAACCACTCCACCAAAACTATTTTGGATGCTTCTCTGAATGCAACTTTAATCATGACTTTGTATCTCCCATATTTCTGAGACATAGTAAGAACTCAGATAAGAAGAAATGTGTAAATATCTCACCTGTCTCTGACTCCTTTGCTTTGTCAATAAGCCTGCATAAAATTCCACAAAGTTCTCAAACAGGGATTTGGAGAAACAATCTAAGGCATATGCGGCAGCCAGGTAAGGGAGAAGACGCCATTGCTAGAATTAAAAATAAACAGATTTGATCATAAATTGATATGTATCTTATTTTATTTTTAATAGTTATATATGCAACTATATTATAATATTGAACAAACCCATTCATTTTTATTTTATTCAAATTGGAAAAATGTTTTACGGAGACAAGAATTTAACAATAACCATCCATAAACATAATTAAGTGTAACTACTCTATACACAAGATACAGTTATGTTCATGCATTTTATGAATTTATGAAAACCACAAACGTTCACTGAAGCTTTGGGGACAACATATTTTTGCTCTGTGTTTATAAAATGTCTGGCAAGCTGGGCTAGTCATGATGCATGTGTTTCTTCAGTATAAACATGGCAGATACTGTAACTGTTCCACTTTTTTGTTCATTGTGGAATGTACCTTAGCGCTGGCTGCATTCTGTGAAAAAGAAAAACAGGGCTGGGAAGCAGACAAAAAAGCATCTTTGCTGCTCCACGCAACACAGATGGAGCTCACAAAGGAAAAGAAAAACTGCTTGAGGAAGTTCTTGTGGTAGATCAAGAAGAGAATGAGAGGTTCAGCAAGCAGAGCCTACTGAACAAGCCAAAACTGAGAAAAACTGAGAGACTTGAAGACTAGCAGGAAGCAGACCCTGGCTTATTCAGAAGAGATGGAAAGAAAGCAACTTTTGCCAGTTTGTAGAAATCCATGAAATCTTTCACAGTTGCAACACCAAGGGTGAACCTGGAAAAAAGGACCCACTTTGCAAGGACAAACTGGGCAGGTTTGTTTTCAGCACTTCTTAGACATTAACCTTTCTCATTGAGCAGATTTGAGCTTTCTCTATTTCCCAGTTATCCTACATACTCCTGTTCTATTTTTTCAGAAGAAAGAGAGTTTTTTATCTGCATAATCTGCAGAAAAGCAGCAAAAAAAGCACTGACATTTTTAAACAAACACTGGTTTCTAGATCTGCAGTACTTTCACATGTGCACAGAAGATAGTTCTTCTCTGAAAAGGTTACTATTTTAGAAGACAAATGTTTCTAGGTCCTTCAGAGAAACATGAATATTTTGGGTTTTGCTATTCCAAGAACTTATGTCAAAAGCCTGATCATGCCAGCAGAAGCATAAGGAGGTTTTTTAAGTTGGAAAGAACCCCACAGCTGCAATAGAATGACACTTCAGATGTCATTAGACAACTTTAATTTCACTAACTTTAGTGTCGCTATTTTGATCTTCGGTAGCTCTGAATCCAAGTTTCATAATATAAAAGTCTGTAGATGTCAATTCCAAAGTATTTACCTGTGTTTGGTATTCAAGAACAGGTATTTCATCTTCATCAGTTGGTCCAAACTGATGGCGAGCTGCTGAGAAGCGAATGGCTATTGATATGGCAAGCTTTAAATTGGTCGTGGAAACTGCTGTGATCAGAATTCTGCCAGTGGACAAGGATCCCAGAGATGCACTAAAACGCTCCTTAACATCCTGAAGAAACAAAAGGCACAGACTGAACAGAGAGGCTAACATCTCATCTACCTCCCCCGTAAAGAGACAACTGTGGCAGCACGATCAGAAGCCCAGAGGATTGGCCAATTTTGCTTCTTGACGTATTCAGATAAGGCATTTAGGCAAGAATCAAAGTATTTTCTCTTAACTACTTTGGGATCAGTGGGTAGAGCAAAGAGCAAGAAGTCAGTAAAATCAGTAAGGGGAGTTCAGACACCTCTGAAAGGCAATTAAAAACCCACCATTCTGACTATCTCATGGGAAACTGTCAACAGCCTTATTTAAGTCAAGGTATCTAGTACTTCCCACCATGAGGGTCCCATGCTCTATCTCTTAACCTACTTATACCCCCATATATTTAATGAACTGTATTAATGAAACAAAACCTTGATTCATACCTTGACTGAACTTGAGTACTTCCCCTCAGCTGTGACATCTCCAGCTATATTCAGTATGTTTTCTTTAGGTATCCTGACATTATAGAACATGGCAAATCTGTTTAAACAAATACACAAGCAGTGTAAAATCTACCTCAAGACAGTCTGAGGTGTCTACATGACAGAAAGCAGGTCACAACATAGACACAAATGCACAATGATCTCAGGCATATCTGTGAACTGAAAGCAGTGCACATCAAGCCAGGTAGGTAATTTTAGGAGAGTATGCCTGGGAGACCAAAGGCTTTCATACTCAGGGCAGCAGAGGAAATTAAAGATGAGAAATTATTTGTTATACCTCTTCAGTTTGTTTAAAAAAGAAAAAAATAAAAGAGAAGATGCTTACAAAACCAAAACAAACACCTCATTGACACTAGGAGACCATTTCAGCAGCTTCATAAGTAAAGAAGTAAATAACTAATGGAAGGATGAGCAATGTATTCTGTTTGAGAGGAGGGACAGGGAAACTAGAGACCTTATACAGAGGCAGTTTGACAGACACTTTCACTGGCAGCTCAGAAACCTGAACTGAATTCCCAGTCTGCATGAGTTTAGGTAGGTTACTTAGCTTGATATCTCAGCTATTGAAAACTCAGGAAGATGAACAACTTCCTTCTTCTGCTTAGAACCTGACTGGGCCATTCCAACTCCTAATAATTCCCTGCCACTTGCTGAACCACATGCTTTACTGAAGTGATGTTCTGTTGAGTCTAGAGACTGCTTAGGAATACAGACACTATATATTTTTATGAGTCTAAAATACAGATCTGTGAGGATCATTCATATTACTGCAATGCTAATCAGCACATAGCTGAAATAGTGCCCTGAGAAGGAACTGAATGAAGAATTTTCCTTTGTTTAAACTCAAACTATGATTTCTGTTCCCTGGAATGTGGCATCTCAAAAAGGAAGAGCAAGATAACGTTTTTTTAAATTCTGGCACCCTAGCAACAATAAAGAAGGAAGTTGTTAGAATGGGCAGAATACCCTGAGTATTCATATTCTTCAGGAGGAAAGTGTATGAACTGTTTCACCCAAACGGGCAACACAACTTGGCACAACAGTAACATCAGCTCCACTCACAAATATCTCTGTATCTAACAGCACTTAAAAAAGCTGTATTTGTAATCAAAGCAAATTCTTTTTCCTACCAGTACAGGCTGATCTATTTAATAAGGCTCATGAGAGCCAGGTTTTTCACATTAATAAACTACATAAGGGCTGCATTGCTGCATGTGCTTTAAAATTACAAGTTGTTTCCAAGGAAACATATCTGCATACTGAATTTATTCAGCCTTAGAGATACACAGTATCTTCAGACTTAGCCACAGAGAACAGCATGCTATCCTAACCAAGAACCAGCTGCTTACTGGCCTTAACCATGTTAAAAAGGGCTTTATTAAGTGCCAGCTTCAGTGAGACAACACTACTTTGTAAGCGAAGCAACTTCAGAATTTCCAAAAATCTGATTTCCATCTTTGTTAATATTTTTTTGTATCCCTGAAAATAAAAACTCATTCAAATAAGATCTTTTGCTTAAATTCACTTTCTCTGCTCCCCATATTCCAAATGAAATCCATCACAACTAAAACCGTATAGCAACCCCAATATTTTTAAGCAATAGCATTCACATTAGACAGAACTTGAGCTTTTTAATAATTGTTAGTCATTACCTTAATCACATGAGAGTGTGTGTGGCAAGGTTTAGGTCCCTAGTTTAGCACTCCCCTTTCCTAGTTAGGGTACATGCATAAAACTACAAGAAGGTGCTTCCTCCTAGCAGCTTACAATCCAAGAATAAAGCAAGAAGCTACAAGTGTTTTCAAACAGTGAGGCAGACACTAACTACTGAAGAATACTTTCTTGATATGATACCTGCCAGACAAGCATGTTGGCAGCTAAGCATTGTCAGTTTTTTTATAAGACATTACAGCAAATGAGAATTTTAAGGAGGAATCTAAGTGATGAAGGTAAGGGAGCTTCATGGGTGTTTATAAAGGATCCCTCCCAAGTAGGAAAAGATGCATAGAAGAAAGCAATTAAATATTATTTTAAGAAACTATTGCATGGGTGATAAAAACTGGAATCATAAGCCCAACTAAAGGAAGAGATGACCTAACAGAGAGATGATACAATCTTTGGGGCATAGATTAGGAAGAAACTTCAAGGGGCTCCAGTTCTTGGGTCTTCTCTTTGCCAATACATATTTGGAGTATGTTCAGTCCTGTGTGTGATGAACAGTAAGATTTGTGGTAGTAATGACAATGAAGAAGATGGCAAATTGTCCTTGTGTGTTTTACACTGTAGTGATTATTTTAATTCATTCAGCAAAGCTGTGCAGTTGTAGATAATTATTTATATTGATATGCGCTTGAAACTCTAGAGCTCTTAAAAAGCAAATTCAAATCTACTAATATATAAATCCATATACCAATAACTTATTTTTTAGGAAATTCAAGCCTACAAATATTGAACATGTGGCAGATGTCTACCAAACCAAACAGCTCCCAAGATTACCTAAACAGTGTTACCCACTTTCACCTGTTGTGGTACAATCCCAAATAGTGAAATCCAGAGGAAGTCTTTTGTTGGAA